TGACTCTTTCACCTGTGAGATTAAAAGCTCAACCAACCCTGAATTTCAACAATTATTGGTAAATATTTCTTTCATGTTAACCAAACCAAATAGTTGTGTGGAGATGTAATGTCAGTTTCATTCTGGCAGTAGAAACATTTCAGTATTTTAGTACAGTAAAATAGGAATTAAAATTGTACTGAGAATGTTTTCACATAGAATTCATTAGGTATACTTGTTAACCTGCTCATAAATGCAACCCTCCTACCAATAATATCATGGTAAAGCTGAACAGCTGAAATTCAAGCTCAGTGTAACTCTGAATGTGACATGGTTGTTCAGGCTAGACAGGCTGGTCTGAGTATTTCAGAAACTGCTGATCTACTAGGATTTTCCAACATTACTTTTAGGGTTTAGAGAAAATGGACGGGCAAAGAGAAAATATGCAGTGAGCTGAAGGTTGCTTGGTGGAAAATGCCATGTTGATGTTAGATATCAGAGGGGAATGGCCAGAGTGTTGTTAGGAAGACAACAGTAGCTCAAACAAACACTCATTACAATGAAGTATGATGTCGAGCATCTCCGAATGCGCAATATGTTGAACCTTGAAGCAGTTGGACTACAGCAGCAGAGCACCCCACTGGCTACCACTACAGGAAACTGAGGCAACAGTTTGCACAGACTATTGTGGTGGATTTTGCAGCAACTGGGTGATAATATCAGCTCAATATTGACTCTGTGGGGAATGTTTCCAGCACCTTGTTTATATGCAATAAAAAAAATCATGTAGTTCTGACAACAAACTGGAACCCAATATGAAACTTGCAAGCTACAACTAATGCAATGAACAGTGTGGCAAAAAACAAAGAAAAATCCAGTATGTAAACATGCAAGGCCTTTTTCCCAGTATAGTATGCTGTGTGTGATTTGTTTTTGTTTTGTTTTTTTTTCATAGATAAAATACGGAGACAAATCTGTCGAACTGGAAAATAAAGATAAATCTCCAGTTTATTATTTTCTGATGCTGATCCTTGTCCTGCTGCTGATACCAGCCATTATTATTGGTAAGAACACAATTTAGAAGTGAATTTTAGTCCCTAACCACCCTAAAAAAGGATGTGCAGGTCAGCTCTTTAACAACCATACCATTCTTTTGCATTGCGCTATAATCTTGTTGCAGTGGCGTTATTCTACCAAAGAAAACAGCAGAGGCTCGCTGATAAGATGAACAAGTTTGTGGAAGACCTTGAGCTCAACATCAGGAATGACATCAGACAAGGTCAGTCACAAAATCTCACAGCATCACTTTGATGTACAATTTATACTGCTCGAAAATTAAAGAAAAGCTTTTAAAATGCATGTCAATGCGAGGAAAAAAATCATGCTGGATATCTATAATGATATGGACTGGATAATGTACAGTATTATGAATGTATGCAAGTATTTCCCATTGTTTGATCGACTGAAACATAATGTCCCAGAGGTGTTCTGTTGGATTTCGGGCAGGCGTGTATAGGGGTTAGTCAATGGTATCAATTCCTTCATCCTCTGTGAGCTGCCTGCTTACCCTGGGCACATGAGGCCAGACATTGTCATGCACCACGAGGAACCTAGGACCCACTGCCCCAGCACAGGTTGACAATGAGTCCAATGATTTCTTCCTAGTACCAAATTTTAGTCAGGGTGCCGTTACCTAGCTGGTAGAGGTCTGTGTGCCCCTCTGTGGATGTGCCTCACAAGCACATAAGAAATATTTTGCACTGTCCGCTTCAGAAAGGTTTATCTGACAGAGGAAATAAATTTTCCACAGTTGTGCAACATTAAAAGGAAGTGAGGTCTATGTGAAGAGTCAAGTTACCAGAAAAGTTACATTTGCAAAGCCACATTCAAACTACTTGGGGCAGTTTTAGAAATAACCGCCGTGGACAGATGTTACAAAATATTTTGATCAAGAATATTAAACACTCCACTGAGGTCTAGCCGGGCAAACATAGATATGACTCGACAACAAGATCATTTGTAATCTTCATTAATGTTGTTTCTGTCCTGTGAGTTCAGAATTCAGACTAAAAAAAATAAACCATTCCTCTTTTTGGATTGATTGATTATATCTAAGATCAAAATGTTAATTTATTGTTAGGACTCCTACACATGGGATCTAATAGACACACTGACAGTTTGGAGGAAGTAATTATTGATGTCAACTCAGAAAAAAGGGAAAAATTAGCTAATATTTCTCTAACAAACTGTGCATCTTTTCTGTTGAATAAAATGTGGGCATTTGAAATATGCATATAATTGCATTCTGTTTTTATTTACATTTTAAACAGGTTTTTATTTTGGATATGCGTTTGTAGTTTGGAAGCTGTGAAATGACCATACCCACACACTGTACAGTTCTCGTGGTTTCAGCTTTATTTTTAACCAAAAGCACTCTTTCTATTTCCGGCACAGTCTTGTAGCCCGGAACCAACTCTGTCCATGGCTTCCTCCACTACATGCTCCCTTCCCGCCAGTCTCCTCTGTCACTATAAAAGGAAAGGGAGTCATTAGTCCCATCATAATCACGTGTCCCCTCTGACATCCAGCACCACCCCATGAGCTCACTACACCACGTACACCACCAACGTTTTCATGATTTTTACAATTCCTTTGCATGTAATCTTAAAATGTATACCTGGTTGCTTCAGTATTCATCTGCCCTGCAGTCCATAATGCTATAGGATTTGTGCTTTACCTGCCAGTATTGGCATTTAAAATACTTCTAAGAAATTAAGTAGCAGCTGTTAAAAAGTTTGCATTATTTATTTTTAGTTTTATACTGTAAAGTTTTCCTATTGTAATCTTTCAACGTTATCTTCCAGGAGACATTTGCATCTTGTTCTCTGCAAGTACCAAATTATCGGAACTGCGTTTGATCATATGTGATAAGTGCCTCAACTTTATCACATATTGGCCTGTGTTTTACAGCTTCACTATCTTCAAGTTGCTTAGTGTCGCATACATAGAGTTCCTGTTTATGGTTTTTGTCATATAACACTAATAAGGCTGATGGTAAAACAGAATGACATTATAGGATGCTCAGTGAATTGCAACACTGCACTGACTTAGACATTTTCACTACCTCTTTTCTGTGACCTGCAAGAACTTGCCTGCTTCACAAGTTCACTTTTCACCTGATAACATAGACATTTGTGCTTTGTACTTTGTGCACGTAGCCTGCGGTTTATCAAGTCAGCTTCACTGGGGTGTCTTCCACAGGTTTTGTGGAGTTGCAGACAGAAAACGCTGATCTACTGGAAAATGTTGGAACAATTCCTTTCCTGGATTTCAAGCACTTTGCCTCCAGAATCTTTTTTCCTGAGGTGAACGAAGCTCAAAAGAAACCAATTGCTGATACGTGACAAGCTTATTCTGTGAACTGTGAAAAATTACCAATTGGTGTCAGTTTAGTAGAGCTGTGTTGTTGTTTTTCAGAATGAATCTTTGATGGAATCCTGTATCAAAGACATCAGTCAGGTAAGTTTTGACATCTGTTGTTTGTTATGTTATGTTATGTTATGTTATGTTATGTTATGTTATGTTATGTTATGTTATGTTATGTTATGATCAGGATGTGGTGAAGATTCAGCTTGATGAGTGTTGCCAGGGCTTGTCCAGGCTGATCCAGGACCAGCTCTTCCTCACCTCCATGGTGCATGCTCTCGAGGAAGAGAAGAGTTTCACCATCAAAGACAAGTCAGTTTGGCACTCTGTATTTTATGTAACTGTCTGATCGGCGATATATTTTATTTTGTTTTGTTTTGATGGGGGGGCGCGGGGGTGTCGCACTGATGATGTACAACTCAAGACTACAGGAAACAACCAAAGTGGATGATAGCAGCGTTAATTCTTTCCAAGATTAAGACAACATTATTCAAAACATGTAGCCACGTAAAGAGCTCCCTCAAAGAGAAAAGTTTACCCTTGTCAAAGTGTAAAATGAAGAGGTGCCTTTTTTGATGGAAATACAAATGGTGCAAACCACTGGTTACACACAGATTAGACCAGAAGACACGTAAAGGAGCCTGCACAGTTTTAACCAAGATTACCTAAATTAATCTAGGATAATCTTGGTTAACCAAGATGGCTGGAAAAGAAACAGCTCAAACTCATGATGTGAAGCTCTGTCAATTATTCATCTCTAACTTGTTCCTTTTTAATTTTTTGTTTCAGATGTGCAGTAGCATCTCTGCTCACTGTAGCACTCCACAGCAACTTGTCATACCTGACGGAGGTGATGGAGGTTCTGCTCAAGGATCTGATGCAGAAGAGCAGCAACGCTCAGCCCAAGCTGTTACTCCGACGCACTGAGTCTATAGTGGAGAAGCTGCTCACCAACTGGATGTCCATCTGCCTCTATGGCTTCCTTCGGGTTTGTTGCTCTCAGTGTTTTATGTCTTCGCTGTTTTGCCTAAATTGAAAATTCAGCTTCTGACTTTTGATGTTTTTTAATGCCCTTATTGTCTTACTTTTGTCGATTAGTGTATATTATGTGCGAGCCTGTTGCTGCATTAGCTGCTGCTGCCTAAACACTCCAAGAAATTATTGTAGTTGTTATTATGGATGTGCTACAGCCACAGACCCCAACCTGCATGCAAATGACAAACATTTAGTAATAAAGACGCAAAAGGCTAGTTTTGGGAAGGCTGCATTAAGAATTGGTGACCCGTGACTGACCCCGGGCCTGGCAGATCCCCGTGATCATTTTGAGAGAGGCTGACAAACTGAGATCAGCACAAGTGGTGCAAGTAGTTATTTATAGAGGTATGACCAAAGGCTGCAAGGGAAGTGTTTAGGATGTGGTCTGGTTCCAGAAAAACAGTTAAATTATCTCCAGTAAGTTGTATCATTTAATGTTGTTTACTAAATTAAGACGTGCACTACAGGTCAATATAGCAAAGCAGCACGTTGTTCAGTTATCCAAACTGTACTGTGAAAACTGAAGAAGACACTCAAAGAAGAGAAAGAAGAAGAAGAAGAGCTCAACATAATGCCTGTAACATTAATGCTTGCGTCAGCATGTGGCTGTATGATTGTTCGCATGCTAACAATAGCGTTTATCTTAAAGAACAGCTTCATTGTTTCAGTTCTTCTTACTTTTGATTCACATTTTTTCTCATTCAAATATTTTTGAAACTTTTTTGGCTACAATACAAACTACAGAAAAACTCTGTAGCTATTATGTAAAATATTAGCATTGAAACAATGAAAGTAAATCTTATGGGCTGCAAAGTCACATTCATGCTATGTATAGGTCTGAAGCAACACTTGACAAACATCATGTTCAGTTTCCACATCCTCCGTTCACTTACTTTAGCCATCGCTAAGGGAAACATCGCCGTGGTTACCAGTGTTGGGAAGGTTACTTTTAAAATGTATTCCACTACAGAATACAGAATACATGCCCCAAAATGTATTTTGTAACGTATTCCGTTACGTTACTCAATGAGAGTAACGTATTCTGAATACTTTGGATTACTTAATACATTATCATGCTTTTTACAACTACGTGAATGTACTATTGCT